TCTGCGAGTAAGTATACCTGGCTAGGTATGGACTCCCAATCATCCGATCGGGTCGGTGGTGGCCTATAAAGCATAAACCAACTACGGCGCAGAAAAGTCCTACGCATACACTGTACACAGTATTACCGGAATGCAAAGAACCAATGACGGAGATGGAAATGTCTGTAGCAGTGCATTCAAACTTCACTAATTCCGAGACAAGCAGATAATGGAGTCAATCCATCATGAGACAGGAGTGGTTCCTTTTCCAGATTGTATCCCGGTCCGTGTGAGTGACTTCTTTTCCCGGCCCCGCCGTTCGAATTTAGCGTTGCTACCATGCTCCATGATTCGCACCAAATTGACTGAGAATGGACAAAGCTCAAAGAAAACCTGGAGTAGACTACACGAGGACGATCCGTGCACATGCGATGACATCAGACACCGTATCAAACGATCAATCCGACTCACGCCGTGCTCTGACCGGCACGCTGGACGTCTACCAACCTGGTTTCCATCCGCCTTCTTCGGCAGGCGAGTGGTCGGCTATTCCAGTGTTATCGGTAGCCCATCCATCATCTGCAGCTGCATTCTGATTGCCATTATTCCCCAAATCCGGGTTGTCGCCTATACCGGTATCATTGACTGCGTCGCTAGGGCAGCGCTTGACGGTGTGGCCCACTGAGTACTTAGTGTTAACAAGACTGTTCAGAGATATTATCGTGGTTTAACCTACTTTGACCGCAGTTGTTACATTTGACCTTTGACCAGTCCCTCTTCTTCGGACAATCGCGGCTGAAATGGCCAACTGACGCTCGTGTTAGCTTGATGACACTAAATGAGATGGAACGTCAATTCTAACCTTCTTCACAATTACGGCAAGTCACAGTTGAAATATCTCGGGGCTTGTCACAGTCTCGTGCAATGTGATCCTCGGATCTATTCTGTTAGATCTTATCACACACCAAGAGCGAAAAAAATTCAAAAGAAAAGAAAAGTGAGGCCTTAGAGGAGTGGAATTCGTACATACCCGCAATTGCGACACGTTCTCGGGGCAGGGGCCTGCGGACAATCCTTCGCAAAATGACCGACTAAATATACATATCAGCATATAGGGATGTGTTAATTTGAACTGGATTGTATCACCTTCATTGCAACGCTTACACTCAACACCCTCTGCAGAGCGAGGGTTAGGACAGTCGGATGCTTTATGCTCGGAGGATCTGCACACGGTCAGCAACATGATCATACATTTGAACAGAGAAAGGCTGTACCCGCAGTTACGGCAAGCGAATCTATCGCGGCGAGGCTCAGTGCAGTCACGGGCACGGTGTCCGACGGCGCTACAGTTAACACACTTCACTTCAACACGTTCATGAACAACACGCTCCTCCTTGCAGCCTCGCGCAGTATGACCCATCTCTGCAAAACTCATCAGCTATCTTCCTTTCTAGGGATGCGAAGGTATGGACTACCTCCACAGTTTGAGCACTTTGGGATTTCTCGATCATAAGGGATACCGGCATCTTCCAGGCGCTCAAGGTTTTCTTCACTCGACTCAGGCCAACGCTCTTTGAGATTGGCACGCTGGGGCTTCTGACTGTAGTAAAACCCAACGACATACTTGCAGTCCAGCTTGCCTTGAAGATTGATCACGCTGATACAGTCACCAACTGGTTTTTCCTGCTCCCAAACATGCTATTAGTACTCAGGAATGGTAGCATTAGTACTACTAACCATGGCAATGAGGTAAAAGTTAAGGTTGTCCTGGCGCATCTTGTTTTCAATATCAACGAAAGTCGCATCAGGGACTGCCTTAGAGTAGATCTTCAAAGCCTGTCTTCTTGTAAGCTCCTGTAACATATGAAAAGTTTTAAGGATGTCGAAAAGAAGCATACTTCGCGGAAGTCCTCAAGATCTTTTTCCTCGCTAGCCTTCTGCATGGCTGCCCAGGCCTCCTCTGGAAGCTTGTCCGGTATGTTGTTTAGGTCGAACTTGCGGTTCTCCTTGCAATCGATGGTTCTATGGCCTTGTAACGATAAATTAGTATATCTCGTGCAAAAAACAGTCGTCATTGTCTTACCTTCCATTTTGCAGTTCCTGCACACATCAGGAGGCTTCTCGGGGCACTCAGCAGCAGGATGGCCTTCCTGATTGCAAATGCGACAAGTGCCTTTGAAAACACGAGGCTTGGTGCAATCAGCTTTGCTATGCCTGCAGCTTATTTCAGCAACAGAGAATCGTCTCGTTGTCTTATTGCTTACCCTTCCTCGCCGCAGTTGAAGCAGGCCATACCCTTACGGGGCTCAGGGCAGTTACGGGCGAAATGACCATCGCTTCCACAGCTGTACATGCATTAGCATATGAAAAGGGGAGAGCCATAGAAGCTGACCTACTTTCGGCATCTGTTGTCATCATTTTGTTCATTCCCAGCAGACGTAGTCTCCCAGGCATCGCCATCAAGGCCAGGATCTTTGAAGTTGCCGGATGGGTTGGCATTCTCATCAGTGTAGGCAGCTGTCTACATTTTAGCATCGAGGAGTAGTATAAGAATCTATGCATCGAGCAAAACAGGAAATGGGCAAAGCCATGACTACACCCATGATCACGAGCACCTACCAGTATCACCGGCAGTCCCCCATCCAGCCGCTCCGTCATCAGCACCCCAGCCACTCATCTTGTCCGTATATGGACGCTTGTCACTGTGAAGGACCAGAAGCTACAAGAGAACGATGTCAGCTTAGGACTTCAGTGAGTGAAAGCATGGGACGTGTAAGCAATGCATGTGTAGATGGACAGTGAATCTCCCTAAGAGTGAAGTGTCTGTTGCTTGGTCGACTACTAATATGGGAGAGAATGTAAGATTCCGGGGAATACTCACCTGAAAGCTGTTCTTTGTAGTTCTAGCAGTATCAAAAGTCTGCACACACTCAAGAAAGAAAGAAGAACGTATCGAGTACAGAGAGTGGAAAGCGAATACAGGATGAAGGGGGAGAAGAGGAAGAAGAGGGAGGGGAAAGATACAAACAGAAGCCGACAACAAACGACAGGAATTATTCACTGTTTGGCTGGGGTCACATGTCCTATCTAACACAGCACCGGTTTCCATATCTAGCAGAGCAAATAGTCTTCTTTCTTTAATATCTTTGCTTGGATGTTCTCAAGGGTTCCAATGCTATGGATATGCGTGCAGGTACAATGTCAGCCTGAGCTTGTTTCCTTTCCAACATGCCTACGTAAGATGGATAGCATACCATGCCCAGGTAATATTTCTGTGGTCCTCATTCTATACTGTATGTTTCTGTCTGATATCAAAACTCTGGTGTACAGTGAGCTTATTCGTGTCTCTCTATCATAGCTCCTTTTTTCCCTAAACACACCTGTTTTTCTCGTTTAGTGTTTTTATTGTACTCAGCTCAAGAGAAAGAGATATATGACAATTGAGCAGATATATGTGCACTTCGCGGCTTCTAAAGGAGAGAATTACAATACGGTGCTTTAGATAAGGATCAAACTCATCAGGAATGAACGTCATCTTCGCATAGCAAAGGCATCATACTAGCCCGATGGCTCTGACAAAAATGATGCAAAGGGATACGTCGATGCACAATGGTGACAACGTGGAAGGTGACTTTTACTATCTTGAGATTTTAAGGACATTGAATGTTAAATGGCAGTCGGTGACTGCTTGAGTCGATAGAATTTGCTGATCTAAAGGCTGCTAAGAACATCATTGAGAACAGTTTTGTTATCATCATGGCCTTCCTCAGAACACAGCCATGAACCAGAAGATTATCTGATAAGGGATACACTGATGCACCCATGCTTAGCTAGTCCAAGGAAGATTCTGCTACTCAGAAGTCAGACTGGACTTGAGTCATGCTGACCGTTGTTAGTTGACTTTCTCTTCAACTCACAGAAGTGCTCCCAGACACCAATGGTCATTATGAAGACGAACTATACCAGGCGAGCAAGCTTTATACGGTGGATGGATTGATTTTCCAAGGCAGCAGATGGCAAGTACAATTCTAGTTGGCGCAGAGCTTGACACCTATAGAACGATTATGCCCCCGATAGTCCACCGAGTTTGGAGAATCCTTCAAAACTGTCCCAGACAAGCAACGGTTTTTTGAAGCCATTGTTGTTCTCGAGCTGAGAAAAAGATTTTCTCAAGTTCACCGGGTGGCTCACCGATCCCCCCATGTTGTTGCTGTTGTCACTTGGCACCCACTGAAGCCAAAGCTGGGTGATGAAGGGCCCGACATCGGATTGAAGCTATCCGAATGAGTCATTCTGGTTTCTTTGGACTTCTTATAATTGTCCCTCTCCACAACTTCTGTCAATTGAGATTCTTCAGTTATGCTTCCGCGTTCCAAGCTTCTCATTGGTGGATCCGTTTTTTTTTTGCCTTTCTTTCCGCCGAGCATCGGATGGATTGAGTCGAGAACATTTATCCCTACTTTGCGACTGCTTCGTTCAACCTTCTTCAGTTCCTGTTGAACTTCAACTCTTGATATATTGTTCCTACTGTTGAATATCCCTAGGACACCTGCGACGAAACGATCAAAGCACGAGACGGGTATTCTATTGTTGCCCCACAATCCGGCCCTTGGATTTAAAGTTGGATATTCTACGGAGGAGCTACCGAGCTATCGATAATAATTTTATCAGTCGCTATCAGCGTTGAACCCTCTTTTTAATTTCACAGTCAATCAAACTACCAAATAGACCGATCGGAGACAATACCCGCAATGGCTTTTTCTCTTCAGGTATGCTCCTTTTCATTACTATTGAGTTGACTCGGGGCCGTTATGACCCATGGGAACTCCAACACGACAGCCGAGGATATGCGAACGCTCACGGGTTTATCCGTCTGCTGCATATTGATCCTGCCGCAAGCAAAAAGAAAAGAAAAATTCCGGTCTAATTCCAGATTTAGGGTTGATTGCGAAACACATCAAGAAATCACTCGGTGAACTTTACGGTCTAGTCGATCCTTAAGTTCCTTGTCGGCGTGCGGGGTTGTTGTCCGACACCATTAGCGGAGTTTTAATTCTGCTCTCGTTGCTGCTGCTATTTGGACTTCCGTTTGCCTCACAACTTTTCTTTAAAGAGTCCCATTCTATCTCACCCGAGATAGAGGTTTGTCTGTGGCGTCGGTGGTGCTGCAGGATCCCATCAGATCGCGGTATCATAGGTCAGCCTTATTCTTAGCCGTGACGCCATCATGTCTTTAGCTCAGTCGCAATTTCCACCCGCGGACATGGGTAAAAATCCTGATAGTGGAGATATACGTGAGCAGTTTGGCGACAACCGCGACGATGTAGAATCGGGTAGCGAGCCAGATATTGCCGACATCGAGCGCATTTACAGGTAGGCGCTCTCACCTCTCATCCAGGAAAAAGAAAAAGACATATCTGACAGATTTCTAGGAAGCTGGATTTGCGCATCATCCCCGCCTTCTGGGTTCTTTATTTCCTCTGCGCAGCCGTCCGGTCCAATGTTTCACTAGCCCAAACGATGAACATAGACACCAACCACACTATTTTCGACGTTCTGCACGTGAACGACCACCAATCTCGACTGCTCTCGCCTTATTCTACGTATGCTATGTCATTTTCGACCTGCCATCAAATTTGATCATGTCCAGACTCAGTCCACATGTCTGGATGAGTCGCATTGTCATTAGTGTCGGCGTCATTGGCACCTGCATGACCGCCATGAAAGCCGCCTGGAGTTTCTAGTATGTTTCTGGCGCTCTTTAGAGCTCTAACTCTGATCTTCCAACATCTAAGACAATCCGTAATGTGGTAACTAACTTAACCTAGCCTCCTACGTCTACTTCTTGGTATCGTCATCGCGGGCATGTGGCCCGGCATGGCCTACTACCTCACCCTCTTTTACCCTCCGTCTCGAACAGGGAAGCGGATTGGCCAATACTACACAGCAGCGCAGCTTTCCGCCGCAGCTGTCGGACTGGTCTCGGCCGGATTCCAAAAGATGGACGGTGTCCGAGGCTACGCCGGGTTTCAGTGGATGTTCCTGGTATGGGGTGTCATAACAATCGCCGTCGGCATCCTCCTCCTCTGGTGGCTCCCAGACCGGCCCACACCCCCAGGCGAACAGCCCCCGAAGAAGAAATACCTACGGTGGTTTCCGCGCAGTGCACCTGCTCTGACCGGCCGGGACGCTGAAATCCACTACCACGACCTGAAGCGCGTGTACCATCGCTCAGCATGGACGCTCCAAGACCTCCTCCGCGTGTTCCTCGACTGGCGCCTTTGGCCCCTCCTCATCATGTACTTCGGTGTAGTGGGTGTCGGTATCGGCGTTCAAAGCTACGCCACGGTGATCATCAAAGCCATCAACCCGAATCTCAGCGGAATAGACCTCAGTCTCCTCTCCGCCCCAATCTGGCTCGTAAGTGCCCTCCAACCAACACCACAAACCCAACAATAACGACATAACCATAAAACTAACCAAGAAAACCAACAGATGGACCTAGCCGCCATCCTCCTCGTAACCCCCTTCTCCGACCGCTTCCACCGCCACCGCGCCCTCTTTTTCTCTGTCCCCGTCCTCCTCCAAATCCTCGGCCTCCTCCTCACCACCTACGCCGGCACAGACACCAACTCCTGGCCCCGCTACGGCGGCCTCCTAATCGTCGCTTCGGCCTCGGCCCCACAGTCCCCATCACCATGACCTGGACCACCGAGATCTTCCAACCCCGCCACGGCGAAGTCGGCGTCGCAGCCGCCTCCGCCATCGTCTCCGGCCTAGGCAATCTGGGCAGTATCGTAACGACCTACGCCCTATACAACGGCTGGGCCGAGGACCGCGCCGCGCCCGGCCGTCTCAAGTTCCGGAAAAGCAACCTAGTCATGGTGGGCATTCTGTGCGGAAGCATCCTCGCCGCGGTAACCATGCAGATCCTGGTCCGGGTGATTGACGGACGCAAGAGCGATGAGAATGACCCGGACAAGATCGTGGATGGAGCCGCTAGACGCGAGGCACAGCAGAGGGGTCTCGATGGATTGGGCTCGGGGATATTTTCTCTTTTCAAGAAGAGGAGGAACAACTAACTAAACTCATCCGCCAATTATTGCGTACGTACACTATATATACTACTAGTACGTGCGTGGCATTTTCCCGTCAGGGTTTACTGACCTGACTGACTACCTAGCTAGTCACGCTGGGTTGACTTCTGTCTGGTATGATGCCATATTGTCAACAAGTAATACTTGTATTCATACATACTTATCTACATCTCGTTAACACGAAGATGCTAATTCTAATAGATAGATAGTCTAGATTGTACTTACTATACTATACAAAATCCAAGCTCATTGTGATAAGAACTCAGCTCCGTAACGTTATGTCTCGTTTCTCTACAATGATCTTGGTAGTATTCTTATGTCGAAAGGAATATAATATTGGAAGGGCTGAGTGGCTTGTATGATGGATCATGTGATAAGTGTAGATGCAACTTATGTCTAGAACGAATGTTTGCTGGTAGTTTTCATTCGTTACAACAAGAGACTTCGACAAACCAATTATCGAGCAAGATATAGACACAGAGGAAGCGTGGGAAATTATTCCAGTGTTGAAGTTCAAGTGGATCACCTACCACAACGGTAGGTTGATCATACCGACATCAAGCTCGGCGTAGCATTACTCCAGTAAAAACCATCCAAAGAGTGATTGGTTGTATTTGATACACAATAATACTATGACAGTGGTTGCTCCTTTCCTTCCTGTTTCCTAAACAGTTGTTCCATTCCTAGTGATTGTCCAATTCACTGTGAACCTTCTATGTTGTTGTTGACGTAACACATAACCCAGTAACAAGTAACGAAAGAGAAGTAATTAGAATATAAACGGCATGGGGTAATGAACGCAAAGGCAAGCTCTGGCATCCGAGTAAAAGAAAACCTGAAATACCATCGTGAGAAGAAAAGAAAAGAAAAATCTATGTGCTCCACACTGCCAGGCTGCTCTCCTAGTTCGATCCCAACTGACGCCGGAGGGTATACGAGCGCTAAGAGGAAACAAAAGTCTTCACGTTTTTATTGGTAGTTAAGGTATCTAGTTGCCACCGCAGATCTGAGTGTAATCCGTTAGCTCCATATCCACATTAATCCAAAGTTTTCCAGATAGAACTTACAGTCTCAACGATGATACCGGTGATCTGGTAGGGGCAAGCATTGCTGGCGGGACGGCGGTCCTCGAAGTAACCCTTGCCATCCTTAGCCACCTGGCGAGGAATACGAATACTGCCACCACGGTCGGCGACACCGTAGCTGAACTTGTCAATGCTACCGGTCTCGTGGCGGCCAGTGAGACGCTCCTCGTTACCCTCACCGTAGACGGCAATGTGCTCAGCGTGACGGGCCTCGAACTTCTTCATGTAAGCCTCAATGGCCTTCATACCACCCTCAGCACGAGTGGCGGCGTTGGAAACGTTGGAGTGGAGACCAGCTCCGTTCCATTCACCCTTGATGGGCTTGGGCTCGAAGGAGATACGGACGCCGAATTCTTCAGCGACACGGTGGAGGAGGAAACGGGACATCCAAAGCTGGTCACCCACTGCAAAAAATTGTTAGTCCGAATATACTAGATGAAACAAAATGGTGCAACTTACTCTCGATACCGGGGCAGGGGCCAACCTGGTACTCCCACTGGGAAGGCATGACCTCAGCGTTGATACCAGAAATGTTGATGCCAGCGTACAAGCAAGCACGGTAGTGAGCCTCGACGATGTCACGGCAGTAGACCTTGCCAGTTCCGACACCGCAGTAGTAAGGACCCTGGGCACCGGGGAAACCGCCCTTGGGCCATCCGTAAGGCCAGCCATCGTTACCGAGGAGAGTGTACTCCTGTTCAAGACCGAACCAGAACTCCTCCTTGGCGTTGACCTCCATCAGGCGGTTGGCATCGTGGCGGTGGTTGTACTTGTTGGGGGTTCCATCCGAATCCCAGGTCTCGCAAAGGACGAGGATGTTGTCACCGAGACGGAAAGGGTCGGGGTAGATAGCAACGGGACGGAGGTAGACATCGGAGTTGTCACCAGGGGCCTGACCCGTTGAGGAACCGTCGAAGTTCCATTCGGGGAGCTCGTCAACGGACGAAACAGCCTTCTTGAGAGTCTAGATAGTGGGGTCAGTAATCGACGTCCCCATGTCTGGTCACGTGGGCCGGGTAGGCGCAGGAACAGAGTGCATCGGATCACCGTGCGCAGGGCTTATCAGCGAAGAGTCGAGATAACGATCACGATCCCTTTGCGTCTGTGCGCCGTGCACATTCAATGTCCTAGACCCATACTCCCGCCCGATACGCGATCCCACGGATAAGGTTGTGGGATGAAGGTCGGATATGAATACATACCTTGGTCTTGCTGCGGCATCCACCGACGGAGTCAATCCAGACGTACTCAGCCTGCACGCTTCCGCGCTGGTCGAGGTTCATGTACTTCATGAGCTGTTGCCAGCGCAAGTCAGTATGTTTGTTTCCTCAAAGCCGGGAAATCGGCTGAAGAAAGCATGATAGCAATCAATAAGAAGTGTAACGCACATTCTCCGTGTTGGAGACGGTTGTTGATTCAGACTGTAGTGATGAGTCATAGGTCAGCACTTATCCAAGCGATAACGAGTACCACCACGCGATAAAGGCGTGAGATAAGAGAACGATGAGTATCACATACCATAATGATTGATGTGTGTGTGAAGGATATAGACAAGAAACTTTTTCTTTTCGAGATATCTCAGCTTGCAACGGATGCAGAGCAGAACCAGTAAATTTCAACTGCTTAAAGAAGCTTTGTTCCTGCGATAAGAAAGACGAAAGCGACACGACGATCTGAGAGATCGATTGGAAAGTAGCGAAGGAAGAGGAAAGGAGGAGATTAAAAGCAAAGCGGGTTGAAGGGAAGGGAGATGGGTAAGTATACGGATAGAAGGGATAGAGATGTAAGTGACAATGGTTCAGTGGGTGGGGAGGCGATGCTTTAAATTTAAGAGAAAGAGAGACTCTCAATCCATTGTAGCTTTTTTTGGGGGAGGGGGCAAATTCATCCCGATCGGGTATGGCGTGGTTTCGGCTTGAAAATTACGGTAATGGCGCCGGTCGATATTCTCGGTTGCTGGGCACCGCCGGTAAATTGAATTTCCCACTGAATTTTCTTTTTTTTACATTTTTAATTCTTTTTTTTTTTTTCCCGGCTGCATAACTGCCAGACTGGTTTCACTTTGAATTCAGGTAGCACTTCTTTTTTTACATTATTATTATTAGTAAAAAATAACTTTGAATAGCTCAAGAATCTAGTGAATTTTTAGAAAAGATACGTGTAGTTTGGTAGACTCATTCTGGTCTGATGGTTGGCATGGAATTATCATTTTTGAATTAATTATTGAAAGTGGATGCGTTGTTACGGTGTTTCAGAAAATTCAAAACCACAAGAAAAAAAAAGGCGCAACCCACAAATCTTGTGGTTGAGCGTCTGGACGCTGAGAAGATGCGGCAAGGCTGCAGCTAAGACAAGGGTTGCTCTCCGCCATTTGATTCCCACTCCCATTTGAATGGATCAGGTACTCTCCTATCTGGACATATATGACACGGTACTAAGAGCTACATGGAGTCAGTTGGATAGCCTCCCAACCAACCTGCGATAGGCGTCGGCTAGACGGTTCTATCTTCCTAATACACGGTCGATTACGAGGTTACTGCCCAAGTCCGCACCTCAGGCACTCAATAAGACTACCTAATTGGGTAAAGAGATGGAGCCATCATGGATCCAAATCAAAAATAAAAAAAGAAAAATGACTCCCCCTTTCCTCCTCTGCGCCGATACAGTAACTATAGTGAAATGGGTAAAGAAAATACCTCGATGCAAAAGTAATGCAAGTATCTGCAACCAAGAAACTACTAGGCAGAGTCATTTGAACGGGCCAGTCCAATGCGATAGAATGGGCTGTGAATACTAATCACCGGAATCTCCCTTGACGACGCTTGGATATCTCTAGCCCGTATCTCTCTTCCCCAGATAATCGCACCCCACGCCACGGTGATCCGGACGCCTTCTATCGATGTTTAATTATACTTCCTCGACCTATTCTCTGCATTGTGACCTCCCCTTTTCGACCATTATCAGTCGGCTGACCAGGCCTTCGATACACTCGCACCGCGAACGAACGAGGGTTGCCTGAGTGAGGCTTTTAGATAGCGACGTGAGAAGCAGGCTGTTGCTAAGAGGTATTATCAACGATTAATTGACGACGGCGCATATCAGCTGCAGGACCCGAGTATCTCTCCATTTAGTTTGAACGTTGCATGCAACTAATAGTCCAGGACTGTCACCCCATTGGTAGATCGGGCGCATGGCTTATAGCAAGTCATATGGGGGGACTCGTTCACGGATTGCATCTTATTCGTCGCTTTCCTTTTTAATGACCCTTTGTATTTTGTTTTTTGTCTCGATATGTGCCTTGTCATACTGACCGACAGAGTTCCGGGATCAGATGAACAGACATTCTGGAAAGGGTATTGGTAGGGTCTTTCCGATAGGCATGGACATGGTGGATGTTCACGATGCATATCAAAATCTATGGTACCTGCGACTTATCAGAAGGATTCCTTATCAATGCCCCTCAAAAAGACACCCCGCCATAGTCGCGTGGGTGGATCATAGCGCGTCGACCGATTGATGGCTGGAAATCTAATTGCTTTTGTTCTTATTTCCTTTTATCTGTTTTGGGGAGAATACAAAGATACTGCCTTTACAGATTAAATCCTTATCTACTGGGCGACAATGATCAGTGCAGTCTATCAAAGGATAAAAATAAAAAAAAAAGGAAATCCTCGATAATCACCCAAAGCGGCAAGATTACAGCCAGCCGGTAATTCACAGTACCAAAACTGAAAAAGGGCAAATTTACAGAAAATAAACCTCCACAGATGTGGGGCGTGGCAAGAAATTCTCGAAAAAGGCGAGCAACGAGCGAGAAAAGTTAAGCCGCCCCCAAGACCCCGAGACCGGCCCAGATGGTTAGTCAGAGTTATTCTTAGAGGGTTATTAGGCGAGGGATTGGTCCGCTTGAGGGAAACTGCGGTCTGCACCGCCTCGAAGGGCGTGTGCAAGAGGGTCGAGGCAGAGGGGAGTTGTCACGATTAAGTCACTTCAAACCTCACAACCGGTTGGGAGGTACAAGGATGCTCCAACACGTCCCCCGGAGTGGCGATCTTCTTGGAATTGTATCATTCCTCCGTGAGAACGGTACGACAGCAAATGATAGGCGTCGGGGGTCGGGAGATTCAGGAATCAACTGCATCATGAGTGGCCGAGAGAGTTTAGAATCAAGAGGGGGACAAAGAGTAGAACGTCTTGGGTGAGGTTTCGGTTCAGCCCTGTGGTTGACATCCACTACAGGAGAAAGCGATGTATTCTTAGTACTACTACCAGTATTCCCCTGATAGGGTGAGATTGTGAGACTGGGAGGGTTATTATTAGTTCGTGGTGAAACGAGACCCGAAAAGAATAGATTCGGTCTATCAAATGTAATGGTGTATTGATTGTATTGAGGTCTAGATATTCTATTCTGAATGATATCCATGATCCACTCTCCTCCCGATCTGGTCGGGTGCGCAGCAGGTGGCTTCCGCCCGCCGTACGCCGTCAGCCAGTCATAAGAATAGAATGTGGCGCAGTCTCTAAACCAGGAGGGGTTTAGCGTGCTCCCGCAAGAACTTCCAGTGTTTCCGGGTAATTGAACGTGCAAGACAACCGACGAGTGCGTCATGACTGACATCTGAAAGTCCCATACCGAAAAGCTGATCGTGGAAAAATTCCTTTCGACCTCGGATAAGAAAGGCCGAAGGGAGTGACCGCCATGAATATCCCTCACCGATACCCACGATCTAAGCAACTTAATCACCGCGAAGGGGATGTCTGTCATCCAATGACCGGAATATCAATAATGATATTGAGGGGGTTAGAGTAATAGTTGTGATGGGCCAGCCTGATAATGAGTAATGGCTTCAGTCGCCAACCATGTTTTTCCCTGTGATGCTCCGCATTCGACCGGGTCCCTTATCGTCGCCCCCTGATTGGTCCTGGGCCGCCGTCCATGACAAACGCCGCTGACTGGATTCGGCCCGAATCGTCATCGCTCGCCTGGAGTGCCTCAGGTTGACGACAGTCGAACATACCTGGAACAATAGCTTGGAGAAAGTCCTCCTATAGTATGGAGTCATCGTCAGAACCAGTCGATCAGCCAAGACCTCTGCGAGTCACATTTGTTCGGCTTGGCGAGGGGTTTTGTGGTCGATTGACAGTCGATTCATGGCCACATGTCATTGAATCGACAAGGAACGGAGCAAAGGGAGCAAAAATGAGAAGAAAGGGATAGGAATAATGAAAATCATTCCACTACAAATTTTATTTTCATTGATCTTGTTCTGGATGTCTTGTAATGAAGAATTCCAATGAAATTTTTAATGCCTCATACCTCGTCCACGCATGCAGAGGAATCCTCATGCATATTTTCTTGAAACCCTCGATGGATCACTTTTTTTAATGAGGTATCCAGTCCAGCTGGGTAATTCGCGCAGCTGATCATGCTCATTTCTTCTTCTATTTTTTGTTATTTTTTTTTCATTTTTGGGGCTTTCTTCTGTCGATTCCTCTTCTTTTGGACATCGAGGGGAATCTTTTTGGGATCCCACGAAGTAAAGAAGATCTCTGACAGGTCATTCTCATACTGGTTATTCCCTCATGGTTTAGATAATGGAAAACCACCAAACGGTCTCCTTGCAGTGGCTGTTCATGCACTGGGATGTACAATTAAATCCCTCAGCCCTGGTATAAGGCAGCCAGGCATTACACTAGCCGCTTCCACCGCCATTTCCATCTGGGTCGGAACTTTATTTCTTGGTAGCAACAACATTCATTCTGCATCTCGCATGCCTGGGCATATGTATGTATGGAAACGTGTAAAGCTACAGATCCCTATCCCACCGGATCTTCTTTCCTTTTTCCTCCCACTTTCACCGATTGCTGCCCGTTGGGTTGTCATGCTCCACGTTCGATTATTTCTTCGCCAACTGCGCGTGGACAGGTAATACTAGCAACGGATGATTCTGATCTCGTGAGGGAAACTGCTTTCAACATGGTAATCGTAGTTCCCAGAGAGCCCCCATGGCAGAGCTCTGTTGGCGGATAGATGGGGGGATAAAGTCTATGCAGGTACAGCATCGATTGCTGGGCTAGCTCCGGACAGGAAGCTGGGTCCCCGCCCTCGTCTGCAGAGCCTCAGATGAAGATCTGGTCAAGCCTCAACTGATCCGCTGGAGGCAGGGCTGGTCGACACAACCCTCTCCACTCGGCGGCAGCGGTAGCCGCGGCTACCCAGCCAATCCGGGATATGTGACAGGTATTCTCAACGGCCCTTTCGCTGCTGCATCCATCGTAGGATCCATTCCACGAGTGTCCCAAGGTCTTGAGATATTTCCAGCACCCGGGCTATCTTGTTTTGTAGTTCAGTCACTTCGTTCTTCTGTTCATCGGTCACTTGCACGTCCATATCTCCAAGACCGCTAGAGTGGTCCAACAATCCTGTCATGTCTACAACCGAAACGCGGCCGTTCAATCCAACTTCCAAACTAACGGAAACCTTGCTTATAGTAGTTTCTTCCTTGGCCGATTCTGCAGAATCGGGTGGATCGTTTACCGTGAAAAGTAACATCACGACGGGCGCTTGACCAAGCTGTGTCCGCAATGTAACGTCTACTTTAACCTCATCGGCATTATCGTCGCCACCGTCAGCGTTCGACTTGAATGTGTCTTTCCCTTTGTCCTTCGTGGTCCTGTCTGTGTTATTGAAGCCCTTGAGCAACCGATCGAGCTTTTTCTCGTTGGGATCGTTGTTGCTCAAGATGATCACATCTTTCTTTGGCTTCCCTGGTTCCTTGAATTTCAGCGGACTAACCGAGTTCTTTGAAGAGTCTGTTTGGGCATCCTTTCTGTTCTCATCGTTCTTGGACGGAGGACTGAAAATGTTACGGATCATGTTTGCTAAAAGCGCATATTGGCGTAGCGTCTGTCAGAGGGGAATAAAGATTATCAGTAACTTCTCTCATGAGTAGTTTTGCTCTTGAACTCACCGGAAGAATATCTGCAAGCTGCCGCGGGTGCGCAAAGGGGATGTCACGCATCGTACGCCCAGCAACAGATTCAAAGGGTTGGAAAGTGTAGCTATGTTGTTTAGTACATGGTTTTCCATCCTGGTCAACGGTCTGGACGGCCATCTTGCGCCTTCTGCGACCAAGTTGGGATGCTTCCTCAGGCCCCAGGCCCATAGCTCCCGCCGCTGATAATGGTGACCATCCCGGTGCTAAGAGTCCATCGTAGGTTACCATCTTAAACTCTTGCGGCATCTGAATGCCCAGGTGTCTGTATATGTCCGAAGCTGCCAAGATTGGCAGTTCAAGGGGCGGTTCCATTCTCGCAACAAACCGCCGATTGGGTGCGGCACCTAGCATGCCCGAATCGAGCGCCATTGCATCTTGCTGATCTTGGGAAGGAAGAGTCGCTGGTGGGTCTGCCCAGTTAACAACAGTAACATCAGACCCTCCTATCTCGTTCGACGACGACGGTTCGTTCGTATTGTTGTTCATGACTGTAAAGACCTCGGAATTCACCCACTCTTTGGACACACGGAGCGACGGATATCCTTCTTCACACTCTATTATGATGTTCCATTTACCGTTATGGTTCCCTGATTCGCCGTCCATCGACGATTCGGGCGGCTGATCTATAGCCATGTCATCAGGGGAAGCCTTCTTTTGCTTGGCATCCAGGACGCGTGCTTGATGTACCCAGTACTCTAAGTTGAGGCCAATACGGCCTCCCTGATGCAGACACGGCTTGCCAACCCAACCACTGCAGAGGTGATCGTTGATACCAGAAAACTTGCGGTGATCTCCTTCCTCATCCCAAATGCGCTTCAAGCTTTCGTAAAGACCTTCTATGGCCTCAAAACAGTTGACTTCTTGGCTGAGTCTATCATGCTTCGCCAGCCACTGTAGATTCTCATGGAACTTAGTCAAAGTTTTCCAAGAACTCCGTCCTCTATCTTCAGGCGATTCTATCAAATCACGCTTTAGGACAGCCGTGGCTTCCCGACGTTCACCGTCCGTGGCTTCTGGCGTTGCGATATTCAGGCTGACATCCTTCACTGTATTCTGCGCACGGTAGAACTCAATCTCAAGATCAACAAAATTTCCCGCAATACTGAGGCTATCCTCCTGCCAAATCGACTCAAAGCCTTCGAGCTGGCCCAGTCGCTCAATGCCTTCCCTGCACACCCCTCTGCCCGCGACTCGTGTCCGTAGAACCTGGACCACGTCCTCAATGTGTCTCCTCCGCTCTTCGTCGCTGTCGCGCGCGCTTCCGAGTTTCAGGCCTTGCATACCGAGTGCCTGAATGTCGCTGTCATGCATACCGGGTGCTACTAAAGCGTCATGGACTGCGGGTGACGGGCTAATCCCGCCATAGCCACCAAGTGCAAGAAGCGCCGACGGGGAGCTGAGAGTGACGGGATCGTCAGCCCCAGTGGTTGCGGCCAGAGGCGTGGCATTTTGATGCGTCGAAGTCAGTTGATGGTTGGAAGCTGATGGGGTTCTCGTTGAAGGTGATTTGTGCGATATAGGTCGAGCCATAGGTCCAGAGGGGCGGGGAGAAGAAGTCAGATGGGTCGGCGTTGCGCCGGGATTTTGCTTGGAAGACGGAGTCGCCATGGTAGCTGCTCAAAACAATGGATTCAAAATGTAACCAGATAAATAATTAGACAAAGTGCGGGGTATCACGCATGAAACGATAGCAGCAGTTCGATTCGGACCTCTTCTCAATACTGCACCGCTGCGCAGTTCATTATCTTCTTCTATCCGACGGGCTCACCGGGCAACACCATGCAATTGTGAAAACTCACTAGACTATTAAAAGCATCGCCAAAGCATGAGTGTAGAGAGTGAAAATTGAAAAGGCCAAAGAAAAGCGAAAGGACTGTTTATCAACCAAAACACCACCCAACTCTATGGATTTCCGGTGAAGGAACTATTTGATGCGGAGTGACTTGCGGCCAGAACGCGGAGTCACATGAGTTTGTTGTGTTTGCTTCCGTCGTCATAGGTAAACCCAGTATCAAAGCTCAATTCTTACCTCCAACTTGTTTAACGACATACTCAATTGAGCTCATTCAATATGTTTGCCTTTAGGAATTTTGCCCGTAATACTCCTAGTCTGTCAAGATGGTCACAAATCCGGGGCGTCTCGACACTAGAAGGGCATCCCCACATTGTATGCCTCCAATGGAGTTAATCCTTGCGATGATTGGCACTGACGATTTATCTAGTATGTTTTCCCATCTAATGGAAACCACATCTTGTCATTGTTGCCGTCAGAACCTCCAAACTCTAAATTGTCTATTGGCGTCACCTCCAAATTGCCCCCTACAACGGATTCCTTTAAGGAGAACCCGGAATTCCTGAAGATCGTACAGGATGTGGTCTCCGAGTATGGCCACCAGGACCCCGACGCTGTCGCCCAAGCCCAGGTGATGGCGTCTACATCCGGCGCTAACTTGGGCTCTGGTGGTGTCCTGTTGACGGGTGGACGTGCCAAAAGACGGCACAGTGCAGCGGATTCCAGCGGTGGAGCGAGCGGCCAAGGTGGTGCTGGATCTGCCGGGCGAGGAGGCTGGATACATCTTTCTGACAACCGACGGCCGCCCGAATATGGCCGGATCGCATGGCCCGAAGATATCTTTGGAAGTCTTGAGGTCGATGGTAGCGGTAATTTCGTGGGAAGCAACGGAAATTATCAGCCAAGCGGTACGGTGTTCCTGTACAGAACGTTCCAGTGAGAGTAGCTGACTTCAATAGGTACTTATCGGATCGTAACTCGGGACGGAATGTAGGTCACAGTTCCTTTAAATGGCACCGAATAGTACTAACAAGAAATCTAGTTTTGGTTTGAGTCCATTCCTTAGGGAAAAGTTGGTACAGAGGCTGCGCCAGCAGGAGAGTCAATAGCGGATGCATTGAGAATCCATGTACATTATTCAACTGTATTTTACTTGACTTGATGAAAGCTATGGTTAAACTGCAGGCCAGTTTGGCTCGAATCGCATCTCATATCGCATCACGACGAGTTAGCATTTGAGGACACAGTCCGAATAGCACACCATGCTATTCGGTATTACAGAACAACTTCAGGTTGAGAAAAATTTTGTGATTGGCTGGGATCCATCAGCTTTCTTCGCATTTACCTTTTTCGTGGGCTTTTCATTATGAGTGGCACTTCGCATCTTCTTTCCGACAGGGGTTGTCTGTTGCTTCGATGCTAGGTTATGCTCTGAGGCCATCTTTGACGAAGGAGTGAGCGGCTCTGTCTTTGGTCTCTTCATCCCCTCATCTGCTACCTCTTCAGGTCCCTCGGGGGTGCGTTCTCTCTTAGTGCCTGCTGCTGGTTTGGGTGCATTGTCCTCACTCCATTCACTTTCCCTCATTGGACGCGGATCGTCTTCGTTCTCGACTATATTTTGATCCGCAATGCCATCACCTTCGACTTTGACACCCGGCTCGGTCTTTTTCTTTGCATTTGCAAAAAAAATTCGCAATGTTACTCTTGTTTTCCTTACTACTTACCGGCACAATGAAGTCAGGGGAGTTGTTTCCAACCTTGCCAACCTCCTTGGGAACTGGATAGCATTCCAACTCGCCCTCGTATGGCTTCAGCACAGACTGCAGTTCCTTCGACCACGTCGTCCGATTCGGATCCAGCCAAATCTTCATCGCCTCACTATTTGGCTCCAGAATGACCGGCATGCGATCATGAAGGAACTTCAGATAAGCGTTCGAGGACGTCGTAATAACCGTATACGTGTAGAGCTGTTCATCCTCCCCTTCCACCGTAAATTAGCAAATAACCAACCCCAATAAACGTCTATAAACTCACCTTCATAAGAAACACAATCCCACAACCCCGCAAAGAGCATCAACTCCCCATCCTTCCTCTTCACAAAATGCGGCACCCTCTCCTTCCCCCCAGGCCCCTTCTTCAACCACTCATAGAAACCCTGACAGACGACTACACATCTCTTCCTCCGCTTCATGGACGTCCACATCCCGCGATCCTCGGCCAGCGAGTCACTCCGACAATTAATCGTCCGCATCATCGACCCGTAATCCGGTTTCCGCTTCGTCCAGAACGGGACCAGTCCCCACTTCATGCTCTGGATTTTGTATTTGAGCTGGGGGTGCGTCTGTTCGTCTTTCTCTGTTGCATTGTTCTGGGCCGGTGATGTAGTGTCGTCGTCCTCAGGTTGTTCCTCGTTGTGTCCGGAGGGATATATATCCGCGCGATACACGGCGCCAAAGTTCCCCGGGGCGAAGTTGTATGTTTCTCGGACGTCGTCATCAGAGGGCGCTTCGTCGACCTGGAGGCCTTGTTCTTCGAGGCGGCGACGCACGAAGGCCATGCGCTGTTCTGTTTGTCAGATGCCTAGTGCTCTGGCTACAGAACGCGAGTAGGTAGAGGGACGTAACATACCACGCCAAGGGCATATCTACCACACATTTTCAGACCATTAGAAGAACAATGAGAAGTAAAAGTAGTATTCCACTTAAGAATAAAAGTTCATCGCCAGCGAAAAGCGTTATCCAGGCAGAGATAGAAGAAGGGTACCTAGAATAATGAAATCGATAAAGGGCGACGTCATACTGCGACGGGAGCTCCGACCAATTAATTGGGGCCGGAACATCGATAGAATTTAATTCTTTTTCCGCGATTGAATTCTTACTCCTACACTCGACTCTTCATACTCACTCACTCACCTGCTTACACCAACCAATTCAAACCTATTCACTCAATCAAACAACGTACCACCAACCCCTCAATGCCGAAATAACCACACCCAAAGAAAAAGAAAACCAGAACCCAAGATGTTCCCAGCAACAACCCGCCGTCTCCCCAGAACCCTCTCTTCAACGCTGACCCGCCGCCTCTCAACACTCCCCAAGACGCCCCGTGCAAGCCTCCAAAACCACCTGCAACCCTTCCAACATTCACAAAAGAGATCCCTCTCCACGCTCCAAAAATGGACCCTCGGCCTCAAACAAGCAAAACGTGACATCTGGCGCAAGAACCCCATCCTGCTCCCGCTTGCGCTCTTCTCCGCCGCCGCAGCCACCGCCATATTCACCTACATCGCCTACGTCGAGTACACGCGCGTCGGGCCGCAGTACCACAAGTTCCCGCCGCCGGTGGCGGAGCGCTCCGCACGGCGGTGTACTACACGGAGGTGGATCTGAGCCGCCGAAGGCGCTGCAGGCGTACAAGGAGGCGCTGCGGATTGGGATTGAGATGGGGATGCATCCGTTTTCGGATGAGGTGGTTGGGATCAAGATCCAGGTTGCGATGATGCTGGAG